GTAATTTTGTGCCAGCATATCAATTATAAGTCTCTCTTCCTTTTTCATGTGTGCATGTATTGCTATGAAATTTCATCTGATAACTACCTTTGCTGTGTCCCATAAGTTTTGGTACGTCGTGTTCTCATTCTCATTGGTTTCTAGAAATTTCCTAATTACATCTCCGATCTGGACCAATGCACACTTGTTTTGCAATAGAGAGTTATTCATCCTCTAATTGTTTGCCCTTGTTTTCTTCATCTTCCTTTTGTTGATTTCCAGCCTTATGGCACAGTGATCAGAGAAAGAGGTCTGTATAATTTCAATGTGCTTGAATTTATGAAGATTCACCTTATGCCCCAGCATATGGTCTGTCTTTGAATATGTGCCATGTGGGCTGGAAAAGAATACAAATAGTTGGATAAAAAGCTCTGTAAATATCTATCAGGTCAAATTGTCTAATTGTAGTGTTTAGATCTCTAGCCTCCTTATTGAGTTTCTTTCCCTGTGATCTATCTTTCTCAGAGAGCAGAATATTGAAGTCACCTATTATGATTGTTGAGTCTGTGATTTCTTTGTCCATCTTTTGGAGTGTTTGGTTGACGTATTCAGTGAGTCTCTCGTTCAGGGAATATATGTTTAAAATACTTAGTGGTTCTTTGTGTACCATTTCCTTGAGCATTATATAGTGTCCCTCCTTATTTCTTTTCGTGATTTGCACTTTGAGGTCAATTTTATCTCAGATTAGGATTGCAACCCCTGCTTTTTTGAATTGCTATTTGCTTGGTATGGTTTTTCTCCAGTCTTTGATTCTCACCCTATTTTTGTCTGTAGTCTTCAGATGTGTCTCCTGTAGGCAGCTGATGGATGGGATGTGTTTTCTAAGCCAGTCTGATAGCCTCAGTCTTTTAATGCCTGAATTCAGTCCATTGATATTCAGGGTTATTATCTCCATCTATGGACTCTGTGGTGTCAACTTATCCCTTTTGTATTGGGTGTTTTCCTACCTCCCTTTCTTATCAGTGCATGTTTGTGTGTGTGTTTCATTCTTGACTTCTTTCCACCCTTAAGCCAGTGCTATCTTGGGGGCTGTTTTCTCTTTGTTGTCCTCTGGGTGGGGTTGTTCTATGTAGCTGAGTGCTGTTCTTCTGCCCATACTAGGTCGGCAAGAATATGCTGTAGGACTGGGTTTCTTATAAAGTATTGTTTGAGTTTTTCCTCATCTGGGAAGACTCTTACTTCTCCAACTATCTTGATCAACAATTTGACTGGGTAGAGTTTTCTTGGGTTTGCATTGTTTTCCTTCAATTTTTGGAATATATTGCTCCACTCTCTCCTCTTCTTCATAGTTTCTGCTGATAGGTCTGAGCATATTCTTATTTGGGATCCTTTATATGTGATTGCTGGTTTTTCCCTGGCTTGCTCTCATGATTTTCTCCATTTCCTCAAATTTGGATAGTTTATTATGTGCCTTGCTGACTTCTCTTGGGATTAAGTCTAGTTGGTGTTTATTCAGCCTCCTGAATGGTTGCTTGGTTTTAATTCATTAAGCTGGGGAAATTTTTCTCCAAGAATTCTCTCACTATTGTTGCAGATGACTTCTTTGGTGTGTCTTCCTCTGTTAATCCAATTATTCTTTTTCCTCTTCATAGCATCAGCATAGCTCTTATGTTTTCTTCAGCTTCTCTGATGATCTTATTAGATTTTTGTTTGCATTTATTAAAGGCTGCTTGGCTGTCCTCTAAGTCACTAGTGCAGTTCTCTGCCTCTTCCAGTTGATTGGTGAAGTCTGTGAGTCTGCTACTGGTTTTTATTATCTCATCCCTAAGTTCTTGTATTTCCCTTTGGTGTATGGACTTTATCTCCTCTATCATTCCATCCTTTTTCTGTATTGTTTCCCTCATATAACTCAAAGCAGAATTCTGAAAATTTCTTTCTGTGGCAGATCCATTTCTGCTCTTCTATGTACATTGTGAGATTCAGGACATCTTCTGCCATTGCCTTTTGCTTCTCCCGTGTTTTTCATTGAGGTAGTGGACTCTGATGGCTGTTTGCATTGTGTTGTTTTAGAGGAGCCAGGTGCCATTTTCCAGGGAGTCAAAGAGCATTGGCTCTCTCTGGGAAACTCATGGGAATGCTTCTTTGAAATGCCTGCAGCTAATATTGCTATGAATTTGGCCTACCAGTTTATCCTCCTGTGGCTTCACTCTTTCCCTAGTCAACCAGTATTGTGTTATTTGAAGGACAAGTTGGAGGACACTGGTTGAATTGTTGTGGACCCACGAGGATGGTGCTTTAGTGGGTGATCTCACAAGAAACTGTTATGGTGTGGCCCACAGCAGCTTGGGGTACCACAGAGGATGTGGGGGGGTTGTCCGCTGCAACATGAGTGCCATGGAAGGCTGTTGGGTTGCCCGCTTTTGTGTAGAGCACTGTGAATTGTGGGCAGAATTGGCCTGGTCAGTATATCACTGCAGAAGTTGAGCAGAGGTCCCCAGAGCAGCATGAAACGATGGCAATTTTTGGTCAAGCTGTCTTAGTCCATGAAGGCCCTTTGGCAGTTGGGACCACAGAAGATTGATAGAAGCTCCCCCAGCCAAGCAGGCAGGATTTACCCCGAAGAAAGTGGGTGGGATTTCGCCAGCCATGTGCTGAGCACTGCAGAGGGCTGATGGGCGGAATTTCCCCTGGAAGAATTTGGGCGTGATATCCCTTGGTGGAGGGTGGGCGGGCTTTCCCCAGACTTGGGTTACATTGCAGAGGGTGGAGCCCTCCCAGCTGGGTAAAGGGCAGGCATAAATACCGTTGGCTAAGGGGAGTGGTCTGGAAATGTTTAGTGATAATAACTTAATAGGTTCTTCCAATAGTCTAATGATCTCTCCTTTCAATCTTTCCAGAGCTCCCAATAACATTCGCTCACAAACACGTGATCATCTGGAAAGATTGAAAGGAGAGATCATTAGACTATTGGAAGAACCTATTAAATTATCACTAAACATTTCCAGTGAATATGGAATCCATAAGTAATATAAAACAAAAACCAATTATCCGTTTTTAAAATCCTCCATTGACTCCTAAAATTCTATGAGATGCATATCCATGACCTTGACCCTGCTGCTTACCTTCCAGCCCCACATCTTGTTATGTCATACTTTTAAGCTGAGCTACCACAGTGTATGAATCTTCCATGTTCTGCTATTAGCAATTAACTCTATTGTTGGGATTATTGGTTCATTTGGTAAAATTTTGTTCTAACTGGTGCTATTTTAATATTTCATTTGTTCTCCAATGTCCCAAGGGAGAACATTTGTGTACTTGCTTTGTCATATGGTTTTCAGTGTCCTATTCCTTTATATGTTTAGATATAATATTTCACAAATAAATTTTAAAATGACCTAAGAACGTGAACTCACCATCCAGTCCCTACTCTAGAAAATACTGAAAACCTGGAATTATTCAGAAGCATACCTTAATAGATACCTTTTGTCATGCTTGGTGAGAATGGAATTTTAGAAGTTTGTTTCCAAGGTAAATTTTGTTTCGAGTACTGGGACGTTTTTCTTCTTCTAGCTAACCTATTAAAGCTTAAGTTAAAGTTATAAAAACAAAAGCCAAACTCACTGCCATTGAGTCAGAATTGACTCATCATGCCCCCCCACCCTGTGGTTTTTCGAGAGTGCAATTGTTTATAGGAGTAGAAAGCCCAGTCTTTTTCCTGAGGAGCTGCTGGTGGTTTCAAACTGCTGACCATGTGGATCACAGCCCAACATGTAGCCATTACACCACCAGGGGTCCTTCATTAAAGTTATATGTAAAAAAATAAAATTCTAAGAATTAAAATCAAGAATTAAAAAAATCTGAAACATAATTGTTAATGTCCACTGATGATTGTCGCCTTACAGTTTATGGTAACCCTCATGTACAATGGAACTAAATGCTACCCAGACCTGTGCCATCCATATAATTATATGGATCATCATTGCAATCCATAGGGTTTTCATTGGCTGATTTTTCAGACACAGACCACCAGACCTTTCTTCCATATCTGTCTTAACCTAAAACCCCGCTGAAAGCTGATCAGCATCACAGCAGCAAGCGACAGATGGCAGCTGTGCTTCCAGTGCACTGGCTCCATTAGGTCATCTGTAAAGTGGGGGTAAGGATGCCTTCTATCACATGTTCTTGTGAGGAGTGAATGAGAGAATGAGATAAGCTAAGAATGCTTAGTACTTAGAACAATGTCTGGCCCATAATAAACAGTCAATAAATGTACTCTATAAAGAGCCCTTGTGGTGTAATGGTTACACTGTGACCTAATAACCACAAGGTCAGCAATTGGATACTACCAGCTCACTCCATGAGAGAAAGACGAGGCTTTCTACTCCCATAAAGAGCTACGTCTCGGAAACCCACAGAAGCAGGTGTACTCTTCCCTTCGCGGTTATTATGAGTCAGAATCTACTCAATGGCATTGAGTTTGATTGGTTTATGTAGCTGTTAATGTGTTCGTATGTATTGGACTCCCATCATTACTTTGTGAGACTTGTTTTCTTTACTTCTTGGCTTTTGAAACTGAGGTTCGTGATTTCCCATATTAGTAAATTAGGAGAGTAATCAAAGCCCCTATTTGTTTATTTTCAGTCTTTCTTTTCTTTCCTCCTTTCCTCTCATATGAACTGAATGCTTGAACTAGACTGAGATACAATAATTCCTGCCTAGTTGATTAGGATGTAGGACATCTGATTGCATTTTCTTTCCTTTAGAATCCCTTTCCCCTGCATGTGCCAGAGTACTCCTAAGAAAACTTTTGCTCACATCTTTTGCACCCATTAATATAAAATCAAATTATGCCTTTGTTTTTTGTCACTAGCCTAATACTACCTACTACTATTAGCTGTCCTTTCTAAGAGCTCAAGTTCTATAATTGAATTTTCACACATAAAAAATCAATAAGGTCAAGGAAAAAAGACTAACCAATATTTATCTAAGTGTTTATTGGACTTTTCTTTATCATCTTTCAGGTCTTGTAGAAATTTGCCTGATGCACCCTCTCGATGTGGTGAAAACCAGGTAAGGTTCTGCATGAACAAGTTTTATTGACTTTGGCTGATATCCAAATAAGGTCTGTCAGAACACTAAATGCTAGAACTTGCCCCAGACTGGTAGCTTCTCCTGTAATGACATTTATATTCGTTCCTTTTTTTTAAAAAAAATGCTATTTGACAGATAAAATGTGAACAGTGAAAAGCATTTTTGGATAGGGGTCATCTGAAGGTATTTAATATTTTATTGCCTCTACATGACAACCAGGAGGTATGATTTGTGACTATGCTGGTAAATTTATCAAAATGATGGAAGAACAAAACTTTATCCAGTGAATTATGACAATGGACTTTCATTTGGCATTGTATATAACAGACTGATATTTAATAGTCACCATTTGGGGATGAGACTCCAAAATTTCAATCAAACTTCCTAAATGATGTTTATAGAATTCATTCCTGTGACTGTTTGGCAATGCAAACTGCCCTGTTTCCAGGAATAGGCATTTGCTCATAAAGAGAGATACAAATCAGGGCAAAGAACCTTATGGGTTTGAATATGAACGAACTTTTTTTTTTTAAGTTGAACCTTGGCTAAATTGCTGAACTCTTGCCTTTGATATGAGAAGCTCTTGAGTATAGTGAAGCTTCTATTTGTTTGCCTTGTGCAAAATCCAAGCAAGCCATTCCCAGGCTGTAGCTGAAGAGCAAATAGTGCCATGCAACCATGGGTTAAAAAGCCTGGCCACCAAAAGGACATACTTGAATCTCGCTGGTCTCTGGGCAGCTTAATCTACTGATAGGGGATCAGAATCATGAACTGGTTGCCAAAAACAGGCTGCAAATAATTGTACACTGCTAGTAGAAAAGGAGCCCTGGTGGCACAGTGATGAAGTGCTGGTCTGCTAAGATTGGCTGTTGAAACCCACCTGTCCATTCTGCGGAGAAAGACATGGTGATCTGCTGCCCTAAACACTACAGCTCAGACAGCCCTCTGGGCAGTTCCACTCTGTGACGTGAGTCACTACGGATCAGAATTAACTCAAGGCCACCCACCACCAGCCATAATAGACCTAGAGAAGGTAAGAATGTAGCCTCAAGTCACAGAGCCCAAGCAGAGAAAGAAGAAACCCACAAAATATATTCAAGATTCATGATGTATACACCATTGAATCATCTTTCACAGGGCTCAACGATGGCAAAACCGACTGGCATTTCTTTGTAAGATGCCCTGTTAGACAGGGTTCTCTAGAGAAACAAAACCATGACGCTAATATTTTTTTATATATTTATACAGATAGATAGATAACATTAGAAATAAGCAGTTAATTAATCTATAAAGATCTATAAAGCAGTACAAATGGCTCAGTGCAACTCACTCCCGTGAGACAATTGTGAGACACTGGCAATCCTTCAAGTCTTGAGGGCTACCGGGTAGTCCTCTGTAGAGCAATTCAGGCTGTCCAGCCACAGGCAGCAAACAGCAAGGCAGGTCACCAACAGTCAGCCAGATGACAAGGTCCAACAGTCCCCAGCTCAAGAGATGTAAATTTCAATGGTGTGGTGAAGCAGGTCTTGAAAGAAAATGAAACATATCCATATCAGATTAATTCAGTGTACCATGGTTCAAATCATAATATCAAAGGAAAGGCAAAAACAACTCTGACAAAAATGATGTACAAGTGAGCCATTTAGGCAATGCCTGCGACAACTTGGAACCCAGGGCCCTTGTTACACCAGGTCAGTAAGGAAAGTGACCTGCTAGAATCCATAAATCAAAATAATTTCGTGCCTTCTTTCTTACATTTATGATCCTGAATATTTCATTTTTATCAAATTAACAAACGCACCTCATATAAAATTCAAATAGTATTCTATACTTTTTGCCAATCAAGATAGGTAGATTATGCTGCTATTACAACAGCAAGTCCCAAATATCAGTAAATTACTATATCATGCATTGTTTTCTCACTCCTACTCCATGTCCAAATGCATGTTGACATCCAGATTGATGGGAGATCGGGTTACCACACCCCGCGGTCTTCTGTAGCTGGAAGAACTGAGATGAGGGTTATGGCACTGGTAGTTAGCAGTTTGACTAATGTATAACTTCCTCCCCAACCAGTTGTCAAGAATCAATTACTTGGCCACAAGAAGGAGAGGAAATACACTCTCCACAATGACCTGAAAGAGAAGAACTGGCTATCATTCTTCCAGAAAAATGAAGGAAACGTGGCACAATCCTATGAATTCTCACAAATGCTGTTCATCACTGAACCAAGTAGTTTATGCCTTTGGAGTTCATTATGGCCTCAGATTTTCACCACTTCAGCTTCCTGTTGTTAGGTACCGTCAAATCAGTTCCAACTCGCGGCAACCCCTGTACAAGAAGGAAACACTGCCCCATCTTGTGCCACTCTCACAACTGTTGCTGTTTCGGTCTCTATTGCAACTACTGTATCAATCCATCTCATTGTGGGGCTTCCTCTTTTGTGTTGACCAAGCATGATGCCCTTCTCTAGAGCTGTTTCCTTTTGACAGTATGTCCAATGTATGGGTGACAGTCTCACCACTCCGTTCTGGCTGGACCGCTTTCAGCACAGATTTGTTTATTCTGCCAGTGCATCTTATAATCAACACTGTCATTCAAACGCATCCATTTTTCTTAAGTCTGCCTAGCTGTCATTTGCAAACAAGGTGATTGAAAATACTATATATAGCTTGGGTCAGGGGCATCTTAGCCCTCAAAGTGAAATCTTTAATCTTCGGTACTCTGAAACTCACAGGGTTAGTCTTACCTTGTCCTATAGGGTTGCTATCAGTTGGCATCGACTGGATGACATTGAATTTGACTTTATGGAGTTGTGCACAGCAGATTTACACAATGCAATTTGTCATTTGATTTCTTGACTGCTACTTCTATAGGCACTGAATGTGAATTCAAGTGAAAGTCAATACACTTCAACTTCAGTCTTTCTCTACCATTAGGTTGGTTATTGGGCCAGTTGCCAAGAGTTTTGTTTATTTCTTACATTGAGTTGTAATCTTTACTGAAGGCTGTAATCTTCCTTAGTAAGTGCTTCCAGTTTCCTTTAACACTCCTTTCTACACAATCAAGATCACAGAAAACAAGGGGATTTGATGTCCTCGATGCTGAGGGTATGACAGTGATCTGGCCTTTGTGTTCCGTGACACTACCAGCGCCATATTTAGAGGCCTTCTCTTGGGTTGTTGTTTCTCCAGTGAAGACTCCTTTAATTAAAGCTTTGGTTTAAAAAAAAAGCTTTGTGTGGTGCAAGGTCCCACTAACTTCCCATCATGACCATATGTTTAGGATTGTGACACTTTTCTGCCCTTCATTGTGCTAAGTGACCTCATCTGGATTTTTCTGGTCCAATCTCTTCATTGAATAACCCTCAAATCTTGTGGGGCATAAGGAGGTGGGGGACAAGTATGTGTATATACTATGTATTGGCATCCCTATTTTCAGTCACATGACCCCAATCTTTCAAGGTTTGTGACACCTCCAGAACCTAGGTGCAGGTTGCTGCCCCTGTTAAGTCAGATGCCAGTTCTCTGTCCATTTTCATCCAGGAAAAATGTGTTCACATTACATATCCCTGTGATTTTCTATCTTGTTATCTATGTCCTTACATGTTTGTACTTATTTATATTATCATTCTTTAACTATCTTTTTAAGTCAAGGTCTTATAGGGAACTTCCAGAGATTCAGGTTGGATTTAGAAGAGGATGTGGAACAAGGGTTATCATTACTGATATCAGATGGATCTTCGTTTGAAGGAGAAAATACCAGAGAGATGTTTAATGTGTTTCATTGACTATGCTAAGGCATTCGATTGTGTGGTCCATAACAAACTGTGGGCAACCTTGAGAAGAATGGGAATTCCAAAACACTATATTGTGTTTATGTGGAATCTGTACATAGAACAAGAAAAAGGTGTGTAAACAGAACGAGGACATACTGCATGGTTAAAATCAGGAAAAGTGTGCATTAGGGTTGGGTCTTCTCACCATACTTGTTCAGTCTATATGCTGAGCATATAATCAGATAAATGGAATTATATGAAGAAGAATGCAGCATCAGGATTGAAGGAA